TCACCTGCTGTAAACTCTGGCGGAAAGTTCTGGTTGCTCGTCCACTACTGAACTGCAGTCCTGCTCCAGAACCTGAGTGTTGCGTGTGCATCAGTTTTACAGATCTCATTCTCTTGAATACAGACTGTTGGTTCCTTGCCTCTCCAGCAGATGCACTCCGACTTCAAAGGAAGCTCCCCAATTAGTCGACTCACACGACATGCTTTTGGGGACGCAGTGGGTCTATTCTTGTTTTCCCCACAATAGGGCCCCGGAACCCACACGGGGGAATTGGTATACGATAACCCTCAACAAAATGGTCAGTGTTAACATTATAGGTGAGGCGGCTTGCAAACTCTGTAAAAACAACGAACTTCAATTCAGAAGACCCAGGTTCTATTCCCCATTAAGAGAGTTTTCTTTTCTCTCTGGGAAGGGAGGAAAGGGGGGAGGGGGTGGTTAAAAAGGCACCCAAAGCAGTAAATCGTTTACGGTGGAAGCATATTTAGCAAGAGAACCGATTATCAGTAGATGTTCCCTTTTAACAAATGTTTAGGCTCTTTGAGCATCTAAACATTTTTAGGGGGTGGGCCCGGTCACGACTTCTGAGCGTCGGGACCTTCCTGTTGTGCTTTCGTAGCAGACCAAAGCGAGCTAGACTTGGTTCTAGCACTTGACACTTAGAATTATTACCGCCCTAGGTAAATATAGACTACCTCATTAACACTTTAAACCGTGACATAAGGCGTGCGTTTAACCTCTAAAAACAATCGTGGATTTTACAAATCACCAAAGAAACAGGAAACAATGCGTACCACGAGGGCAAATTTAGGAGCCGAGCGTGAACCCAGCACCCACAGGCCCAAGAGAGATGGCTGGTCCTTCGGCACAAACATAGTCATACCAGGATCACCAACACAGGGGTTCGCTCCCCCCAGGATCTTCCATTTATGTGGTGATTGAAGCCGCCCAGTATGGCGCAGGGACCCTACCGCCAACACAAGTAGCATTAGCCTGGGACCTTTACCCCAGACATCATGCAGTGTTTACGCTGCAATAGGGCATGGCACACAGCCTGCTTCTGTCGCAGCAGCCCATCGTGCAGATACTGTTCTGGGACCCCACGACTTCAAGGAGTGTCCACTAGCCAAAATTGGCACCGTTTTCAAGAAGCCGAACAGCAACCGCAAGTGCATCAATTGTCCCGGGGCACACGGTGCGAGATACATGGGCTGCCAGTATCTCCAGCAGTGCAAGAAGGAACTAACAACAGCCCGCGAAATAGCCAGAAAGAAATACGAGGCACCCAGGCTTCCAGAAGTACGAAAGCAGCCGAGAGGGAATTTCTGAGATAATAGCTGAAATCAGATCTCTTCAAAAGCAAAAGGTTGACACTACCGATGCCAACGCTGATAGAATCCAGTTGCTAGACCTGATATCGAAGATGCTTGGCGAAATCAAGGCCTTGAAAGAAGACAGACTAGAACAAGTCTCACAGCAAGCAAAGTGGCTAGCAGAAGCTGAACAAACGCAGAAAAACCTGCTAGAAATGAATATGAATATAAAAGCAGAAAAAGCAGCAGAAGAGGCGCTCCGACAGGAAGAAATTAAATAAAGAAGAAAGGAGATTTCAGTACTCAAGGAAGCCCGAGAGTATATTATCAAGAGGTCGCCCTACTTGTGCAGTCAAAACCAGAAGCCGAAGCAGACGAGCTAGTGACCAGAAGGGAGCGTGTCCTACTAGAGAAGGAAAGAGGCGCCTTCAGTAAAGCTGAGGAGAAACCAACTTTCATCAGGGCTGACACATGTACATCCACAGACAAAATAACGCAGAAGGTTAACAAAAGCACAGCCACCGAAACCGAAATCAGTCTCAGAAACAGGAGCAATAACTGATGACAGAAGCTTTGAGGGCATGGAGGCCAACTTTGAAGAACTGTTCCGAAGCGCAAACGAAAAGATATTCCCACACAGGCTAGAGGCGACAGCATTATCAGTGTACTTATTCTTCGACCAGGACAAACAGCAAGAAGAGCAACGTCTACCAAACACTAAATTAAAAAAAAAAAGTACGTGGTATGAACTACAGACCATCCAAAGAACTAAACACAGCCTTATGCAAAATACTAAAAAAAGCAGGAGGAGAGGACGACACCAACAACACAAACAGTACAAGCGAGGCAGACGAGGACGCCACCAGTACTAGAAACCGCACCACCCCTCTCCTTGATAGCCAGCACCACCACATAGGAGCCCCACCCACCTGTTCCAGTCCCATTGGCGAATAACAACGTAAATGCCAACGAGCTAACAAAACATCTCAACCTAATATATTTTCAGGAATAAGAAGACAACGGAAGCCACCAAAGGCCACAAGACGCCATGAAGCAGATAGCTGAGGGCATTGCACCAAAGGGGACCAGCACTCGGGGTTTCCAGTCTGTCTTACGCCACCCTATTCCCACACCACATGCATTTTAACAATGGCTTCAAGTCTTATGTCAGAGCAGGGGACCTCAACCTGCCAGAAGTACCAGCCTCGGGAACACATCTCTCTCAAGCTATCTGTCGCTCTCATTCTCCAGACCTCACTATCACATCTCCTGGCACATTCGAGAAATTAAGTTCTCTCATTTGCAATCTATCTTAACTCCACTACTACTCCACACTAAGCGGGGGGGGGGGGGGGGGGCGGGCTGATCACAACAACAGATTGTGACGTCCCTGGGTGTCTTTAAAAAGAATATTGTTAGAGACAATGCTATTTGGTGTTTGTTTGGCTTTATCCCGTGGCTTAACAGAGCGTTAACCCAGCAGGCATTATGGCACCAGCGCAGCGACCAGCAAGAGTTAAACCAGGCACGAGCAACAATCAGCTAAAACCCACAATAATTGAAGCTAAGAGAGCTGGGCTAGACCCGAGCCAGAACCCTAAATACCACACCTGACTTAAGAAGACCAAGAACAGGAGTATCAGGTGTGACTTCACATCGCAAAGAAAACGAAAACCACACAAGATAGCCATGGAACCTTCCTTCATATAGCAGGCCTTCAGGCAGCTGAAGAAGGATCACATTTGGAATCTTTGTTGAACAATTAGAATTGGAATAGTGATGGACGCCGCGAGTGCGCGCAAACCAACCAGTCTCCTTATGGAGGCGCCATGCCATTCCGAAGTGAGTCAACAACTCCCACCTGCCAACAACCTGGTGGTTCGCAAAGATACCGGAAGCTGCACATCTGCCCTTCGTGGTCCGTTCACAGGTATGCCTTAGCACAAACCTGTAGGAAGCTAGTTCTTCTCTAGGCCTCGACCACTACTTCAGTTAGGGACCTTACTTTCCCGTCTTGTAGCAGGCGTTTCCACTGTCCTAATCTACACAGTCGGTGACGACTGCACTTGCCATACTCTTCCCTATATCCTCATAATCAAGAGCACCCTGTCCTACACCGCTCTACGAAGGGGCACATATAGTCATTAAATACAGGGATATTCTAGTGTAGAAGGCATGGTTTCAACAAATGTGTATTTGTAGAGAAAACAACATGAGTACTAGAGTGCAAGAACATTTGAACAGGCTAAGTTAAACATCCAGAAGATATAACAACAACAACAACAACAACAATTAAAATGTGCGTGTTCCTAATCGGCTACATAGAGGGTTAAATGGTATTTGTCTGAAGTAAGTTAAAGAACTGAAACATTTGGACAATATTTTCTTGGAGGACGGAAGAATAGATCGGGAAATACCAAAGCTGTGCTACCAGTGCCAGTCTCTGACGTTATCAAATGGCTAAACTTCATAAAATTAACATGTGTGAAATGAGAGGTCTGAGAAAAGACATCAACTTAACAGTTCAAGACAAAGATAGAAATTATTTTATCAGACATACAGTAGAAACTACACCATGCAAAAAAAAAAAAAAATGCATTGTAAATTAAAAATGATAAACGCTTTGGTCAACAACTACTAATGCAGGCGCTACACATGAACAGATGTGAAGTGAAATAAAGAGGTAGCTCAAGGAGGAAATGGACTGATGGCATTAAAGGGCCTCTACATCGAAACTGAATGGCAATATACAGTGCTGCCCATCACGCAACTGATAGCAAACTGTTCGCTCCCACAACGCTTAACGGCAGACGTGGAAACTTATGACGATAAGGATTATTAGCGTTTTAGGTAGAGTTAATCATAGACCTACAGAAAAAAGATCTTAAGGTCAGTGTTCAATGCTGTTGCAAGGTCAAATTCGGAAACTAAGAACTACATTGCAAATCTACAGCTAAGGCTGGAGAAAGAATAATAAGTCTAGATGATTATTTTGGTGTTCTGATGCAAAGTTTCATACTCAAGCATTATTACATAACAGACCACGCACCCTCCCCCTAAAAAAAAAAAAAAAGCATTGTCTAAATCTCACTAAGCTGTTGAAAAAAACATGTCAAAGTATGCCGGAATTGCTGAACACTGTCTTCCTGCTCACCTAACACTACCAGTTTCATAACTGGGCCCTGATGGAAAAGATACAAGAGGAAACGGGAGGAAATGATTATTTATTCCAGTCCACAAGCTACACAAATTATGTCTTTGCGTTTGAAAGTTTAGTTTGTGATTATAACGACAAGAGGACTGATGTATGCGTGTATAGCACATACATTAGAGAATGGAGGCAGTCTGGCTGCTGCTATGTCAGTGTGCTCAGTGTTGTCAAGTGTTATTAGGTTAGCTTTGTGCCTATTCGCACAGAAATATTACCTGTAAATATGGTCAATGTTCAACATACATCCAACATTTTTTAAAAAGACACTAAATTATATGTTCTTCGGTCGTAACAGTTAATATGGCTGAGAAATAAACTGCTATTTCTCAGTTCCCCAGCACTTTCTGGAACTCACCCTTGGCTTCTGTCTAATGACTAGGCTGCCAATGATCTGCCATATCCAATAAATTGTACACGCTGTTATTCTCATTCTGAAAATGTTACCATCACTAGCTTGCTATCAACAGCTTGCCCCTTCATCTTTTGTGTGTAATATTTCTCTTCCAGTCAGTCAAAGCAGAAATATATGTATCGTAATCCGACACAAGGTCTCTCAGTGGCATCGCCAGAATCTGATCTATCAGCGGCAGTTCATGCTTCAAAATGCTAGTGTCCGTCACTCGTGTTTTTTCAGTGCAGCCTGTCCACTGCGCCTTGCATGATCGATAATGGAGAAGTGTATACGTGTCATTTGGGATTGGCGATCTGTGGAAAGCAAATAAAGTAAGATAAGAACCTAACTGGGAAATACAATATTGCTGGACAATGCCATGCTCTTATTCACTGTAGTAACATCCAACTTTGTAGGATTGGGAGCCGCAGTGGTGTAGCGGCGAGACGTTCGCCTGCGGATCGCAAGTTCCTGGATTCAGGTCCTGACGGTAGTATACTTTTTTTTCTTCTTAAAAAATGATCTTGGTTGCCATGCCGACCCAACACTGAATAGGTAACAGGCGGAGTGCTAGAAAGTAACGATAGCCGTTGTGGCGCTAACCAAATCACCCACCGAGTGCCCATTGTTCTATAAAATATAGTTCTAACCCAATTTTCCCTTTATGCCCGATATGTCTGAAGGCTTTAAAAGGGTCCTTTACTTTATAGGGCTATTTATAAATGCACAGATGAAGAAAGGACTGGCTTGGTTGGTTGGCTTTTCTTCGAATCTTCATGAGGATAAAGCGATTTAAATTCCATACATCGTGTTCGGGTGGACAAGGAACTGAAACGAGTGTATGTGTCTGTCGGAGTCATGTGATTACTAAGACGATCTCCTCGACCTAATGTCACAGCATCATAAAAACGTTTGTAGGAATCTCTTCCTTCCGCATCATGAATTAGCGCGATGCATACGGACTGGCCATGTGTCTTATCTGGCTTATCTGTCTTAATAGGATATATTCCAGGGTACTTCTTCGTCTGCTTCGCGTTAACAGGCTGCAAACCCCGGCGGAAAATTATGGTTGTTTGTTCACTACTGGACTTTGGTCTTAATCCACAACTTGAATTTTGCGTATACATTAGTTTAGAGATCTGGTTTATTTGCCTGAGGATGCTGGTTCCTTGACTTTCAGGCGGATGCACTCTAACATTGCCGGAAACACCCCCCCCCCCCCCTTTCTATTTTTCCCCCACCACCAAATTAGTTGCGGTCTACGACATGGTTTTTATGGAGCAGTGATTTATTCTTTGCTCTGCAAAACAAAGCCGGAACCCACAAGGGACACCAGAGTAACAGTTAAAGATATTCACAACTAGACATTTCCCGAAGGACGACATCCAATAACTGACAAACATCGTCAGTGCCAGGTTTCCCTGCATTGACAGCCGCCAGTAAAAGCCAGCCTCACGATAATGAACACAGTATGAAACACTTGTGCACTGCTGACAGACTTAAGGCTTGTTAGCGCATATGCCAAGTAGCGGTCTATATCTAATGATACACCACTGTTTTCTTTAGGAGTATATTTTCACACCTCTTCACAGACATACATGCACGCGCGAGCACACACATACACACATATACCCAATCATACGTACACACAGGTAAGTGACTCACATTTTCAAGGAATCTCGACAATGGATAAGGTTATTCTGCACCCAGTAAGTCATTTTTGGACGGAATGCCCATCTTGTATTTCTGTCTGCACCATCATAGTTGACAAAGTCTGTTCTGTTTGTGTATCTGAAGATCTAGACGGAATATGATAATTATGTTAGATAATTATCCTTACATGTGTGAGTGTGCGTGTTTATTTGTGTGTTTGTGTATCTGCATATCTAGACAGATGATGATATTTGTGTTAGATAATTATCCTTACATGTGTGAGTGTGCGTGTTTGTTTGTGTGTTTGTGTATCTGCAAATCTAGACAGATGGTGATATTTGTGTTAGATAATTATGCTTACATGTGTGAGTGTGTGTGTGTATGTGTGAGTGAGTGTGTTTGTGTGTGTCTGTTGCATTTATATCAGCCTGCCTAGTCAATATGTGTTTCCATAATGTGGTCTGTTTCTATAACCAATCTACAGGTGGTCAACTATACCAGTCATACGTGACAGATGATTTAACAGAAGCCTGTTGATGGAAAGATTACGGTATGATAATGATTTCACACAACTTACCAATAATGGCGACGATCTAGTAGCTCCCCAGGTCAACGCCACCACATGAGCGTCAAAACTAAAACCGCACACATCAGGCATTTTCAGCGATGCTGCCTGATTGTAAAAGACGAAGAGTTGCATTAACTAGAAGTAATTCTGACCTCCGTGGCTTAGGCATTGCGAGTCTGACTCGTAATTCCAGCATACCGCGATCGAAACCCACTGCTGGCTGCGCGCATTTTTATCATGGTACTAGCTGTTGCTGTGCAAAGTTTGGCTAAATGAAAATGAAAGAAAATAGAAATCGCACGTGTCTAATACAATCATTGTCTGCTCATATATAGAGATAGTCTTTGATCCCTGCCCCCCCCCCCCCCCCCCACCACCACCACCACAACTAAAACAACCTACTACTCTCTCACTCATCAAAGGTTTTTGGAAAAGAAAGACAATGGAAATCGCCCGTGTCTAATATTGTTAATGTCGCAATCATTCTCTGCACAGATATAGAGATAGTCTGTTTTTCCAACTTTAGAACACGCACCTTATAATTGTGTTTTTATATTAGTGGTCGTTTAAATGGTGTTATTAGCACAGTAACAAAAATGGTTATTTAGGGTATAAAGTATTAAGGGCCACATATCTAGTGCTGTCGCCATGACAGTGCAGGTGAGGATTTTATTTTAGTTAGCCTCGGGTTTAAAAAAAAAAACCACTACTGCGGAATCTTCTTCTTCTTCTTCTTTCGATTTAGTGGCTGCTTGGTCGAATGGTTAGAACACTGGGTTCCTGTGCGGGAGACCAGGGTTCGAATCCGCAGTAGTTAATTTTTTTTTACCCCGGACTAAAATAATATACTCATCTGCTCTGTCGTGGAGACAGCACTAGACATGTTGCCTTAATACTTTAAAAAAAAAAGACAAGTAAATGGGTAAACCATTTGATAATTAAATTTGACCATTTCGCATACTTATGATTGCATTTTAAAACTTTCCGATTGCATGGTTACGCTGAAATTTCATAGATTTCCATTTATTTTCATTTCGATTTAGTTATTTCATCTGCGTTGGAATTTAAAGCTGTGCTGTTTACCATAGCGTTCATTTCCTAATTATGGTGTTTTTTTTTCCTGTGTTCATTTGCTTTTCAAGTGTTTTTTTTTTTCTCCCAACTACTTCAATGAGGGAAAGAGTTGTCGGTGAATTTACCAAATCTTCTGGCTCACGACTCTCTGTCTACTCCGATGGTAACACAGATAGCAGTGACATTATTTTAGCTACTGTGGTGGTGGTCGCGGTAGTAGTTGTACTGGTACTTGAAGGATGATGTGGTAAATATTACACTAGCCCCATTCACTACCTATTACAATTCCTTCTCCCCATTTTAGTCCAGATGGACAGGGATGTCAATGTCAGTTACAGCAACAACAACAAAATCTCGCCAGGTAGTGATTTTCAAATCCTTCGAAGAGGGAGAGAGCAGTAGTCGGTGGAAGAGGGGAGGAGAGGGGGTAATGATTTAAATTTAAGAGAACTTAAAGAGCTTTACACGTGATTTTCAAGTTCTCATTACCTAATTTGTTTATATTTTACTAACGCTACCTCCGCTATTCAATTTTTTTTACGACTGACTTTGTTATTTACAAGTACCGCTGTAGCTTTACTTCCGTCTCCTATAAAAATACACACAGCTTTAGCATGTGATAACCAAATAACCATTTTTGTTACTGTGCTAATAACACCATTTAAACGACCACTAATATAAAGACACAATTATATGGTGCGTTAGTAGTTATGTGCGGTAATTGAGGTATTATTTCGATTAAGCCGCCTTCTTTATCCTTAGTAAAAGATGGCGGCCAAAAGTGATTGGTTCTTTCTGGCGGCTTTATATATCCTTAGTAAATATCGATCGGGTAAGCCGCCCTCTTTGTCCTTAGTAAATATCGATCGGGCGGCTGATGACAGCACAAGTGATTGGTTTTAGGGAAAGGTATAGGAAATCTTCATAACTGCAGGTGACAGGTGGCGTTATATAAAACGGAGGCAGGCAGGAACACTATTTAGGTGAGCAGCGGGGGGCAGGGGACCCGGGGCGACTAATAGAGTTGGTGCGGGTTTATGTGGATGTCTGTATAGGTGATTGTATGAGGGAAGCTGTTTTAGACTTGCGATAAAGAAAACCTAGGAAGGCGACGTGGTGCTGATGACAACACAAGTGATTGGTTTTAGGGAAAGGTATAGGAAATCTTCATAACTGCAGGTGACAGGTGGCGTTATATAAAACGGGGGCGGGCAGGAACACTATTTAGGTGAGCAGCGGGGGGGGGGGGGCAGGGGGACCCGGGGCGACTAATAGAGTTGGTGCGGGTTTATGTGGATGTCTGTATAGGTGATTGTATGAGGGGAGCCGTAGGTGACAGGTGGCGTTATATAAAAAACGGGGGCAGGCAGGAACACTATTTAGGTGAGCAGCGGGGGGCAGGGGACCCGGGGCGACTAGGAAGGCGGCATGATGACCGGGGATGTATTAGAAAGGGAAGATTGGGCGCCGGCATTATCATCATCATCTATGTCATGGTAGCGAAGGTCGACCGCTCAACCTATACAAGAGAACAGACATATAAACATCGATATTTTGTCTCCATAGCAACTGGTTATTCATTGTCGGTATGTTGGGGTGTGGGTATTTTTAGGCGGATTGGTTTAAGGAAGACAAATATTTCTTTAGTGCAGGGCCAGCTGTTGGTTAAAAGTGGCGGATGATTCATTTCCCCATGGCGGCCAAATCTGCTTGGTCTCTCTGGGAGGCTGTTCTTTATCCTTAGTAAATATCGATCGGGAGGCTGATGACAGCACACTTGACGGGTTTCAGGGGAAAGACATATGGTGCATAAATCGATATGTTGTCTCCATAACAAATGGTTATTCATTGTCGGTATGTTGGGGTGTGGGTATTTTCTTCGGGGAAAGGCAAATATTTCTTTAGTGCAGGGCCAGATGTTAGTTAAAGTGGCGGATTACCGGGGATATATTAGAAAGGGCGACTCGAGCGCCATCATCATCATCTGTGTCATGGTATTGAAGGGATGGTTTGAGCTGTAGTAAAAAGGAGGACATACGACAGAAGGGTAGCTGTCTTGTCATAGTGTCGAGGGCAGAAGAGAAGGGGCTTACCTGACATCGGTGAGCAGCGCGGCGGGCGGGGCAAGGGACACGGGGCGACAGGGCGACTAAAACGGTTGGTGTTGGTTTATGGGTTCTGTAATAGACAAAAAAAAAATTAGAAGTGGGTTGTTAGCGGGAGATATATATGTTATAAAACGAAACAAGTTACGGGATATGAAAATAGACAGAGGCAGCAGTGACAGCCGGCAGAGGGGGAGGGGGCGTTTTAGGGTTGGGAATTTATGGCAAAATGGCAACTTTTATGTCAACAATAATAAGGAATGCCGGCCGCGCAGAAATAGTTTAAGCTGTAGCAAAAAGGAAAACATACGACATTTGGCGTGTGTCTTATCATAGTGTTAGATATTGATAGGTTAGGGAGGGTTTAGTTGCAGTAAAAACGAAAGCGTTAACAGAAGGGCGACTTTTGTAACATATTATGGGAGGCCGGCCACTCATCCGTAGTTTAAAGTGTAGTGGGAAAAATAGCAAAAGGACGACAGGTGTGGCACAGTGTCGGGTTCTGGTCGTACATATATGGTTGAGCTGTAGTTTAAAAAAAAAGGAGAACTGTTGTGTCATAGTGTTAGATATCACCGCTCATAAAGGGTTTACGTTGTAGGTCAGAGGCGGCGCTACCAGGCGACGAAGGTGGGCTGGGGCAATTTTAGGTGCGAAAAGGGCGCTATGTCTTTCTCGACAGACAGCGTAAACCACACACGAGCCGTTACATGTCTTTCACTGGTCTTTACAAGGCAATAACTGAAGACGCCAGATAACCCGATCACTATCCTTGGGGCAAAGGGGAGCTGGGGCAATTTTGGGTACCAAAAAGGCGCTATATCTTTCTCGACGGACAACGTAAAAGACGCACGAGACATCGCATGTCTTTCACGGGTCTTCACAAGGCGATAACAGAAGACGCCGGGTAACCCGATCACTATCCTTGGCGCACAAAAGTCACCCGATGTTTTTCTTCATAGGACACCGTAAGCCACGGAAGAGAAAGAGCATATCTTTCACTGGTCTTGACAATTCGTCACCTAAGGTTCCTATTAAGTAGCTAACTGTCCTTCTGACACAGCAAATCACTCGATGGTTTTCTCTACCGGACACCACAAAGCACGCAAGAGACAGAGCATGTCTTTCACTGGTATTGTCAAGTCAGTTGCCGACGGTTCTTAGTAAGTAGTGCACTGCCCCTGGGACCCAGCAACCACCCGATATTTTTCTTGACGAGACATCTTAGGTCACTTAAGTCTTCCTCGTTGCTTCTGGCGTTGTCAGCGTCCTCGTTGTCGTCTTCCTTGTTGACTTCGGCGGGTCGTCGTCTTCGGCGTCATCGTCGCCTCTAATGTCGTCTTCGTCGTCGACTGCATAACCCAAGGTTTTTACTAACTGTCCCGGCTGCCTCGGACACGATGCGACTTTAGGAAAACAGGAGACTCGTCGTCTTTGCAGTTGTCTTCCTCCTAATTTGCTCGTCTTCGGCGGTGTCGGCGCGTCGTAGGACAACGTTAGTCACCTCTAGTAACCTCTCTTGGTAAGTCGTTAATTAACATTGGTACTATGCGAGTCGCTAAGATGTCTTTTCTGTTGGGGAAACACTTGATGTCTTGGTCCTTTGATACATCTTGAATCACACAAGATATGACACACATCTTTCACCAGCTGCCCCTGACGACTCGGACACACAGTGGCTTTCAGAAAACACAAGGCAGCTTTTTAGAAGCCAGAAGGTGACTTTAGAAACCCAGAGGGATACTTTTTAGAAACCCGAGGGTGATGTGTAGAAAGAAAATAAGAGACAACGGTTAGAAACAAGACGGCACCTTTTACGAAATATAACATGACTTTGACGAAACATGAGGCAACTTTTTTATTCAACATAGGGCTCCTTTTAAGAAACACGAGACGACTTCACTTATAAAGCCAACATTTTCTTTT